ATAACTATCATACCGTGTCCTTTGATTGCAGTTGCACCATAGATATTTATTTATATTATAGACCACTATACCTAAAAAGGTTGCATTTGTGATTGAGAAATTATCAGTTAACAAATGGCTCTATTTCATTTGTAATAGAGTCGAAAGTGATGTGAGTTTGAGAAAAATCAAAGGAAAACCTTAAAAAGGACTTGGCGTCGTACATTTAAAGATGGCCGCGAGGTTGGCAGTTGCTACGCGAGCTAATAATAATTATCACGTTTTCTTGTTCATAGAGTGGAAAAACTCAATGCCTGAAATTCTGAATTGAAGAAGTGAAACTTTCAAATTGCGCCATAATAAATTAACAATAGCGATTTTTTTAAATAATTGTTGAGAGTGGAAACATTGTAATATAATAATCTGCGTAGTATTATAATTTAAAAATATAGTTTGATTTCCAAATATGTACCTAAACAAAATTGTTTTTATCAAAAAGCACTGTTTCTCAACCATGGCGTCAAGCCCCCTAGGGGGCTCTGTTATTTATCACATAATATGCGATTACAAATTGTTACAATAAATATGACCTGTATACAGAAATATATTTTTTTATATTAGCCTTGATTAACATGTAGGCTACATTTTATCCCACTAAATGGGTTTCTTTGAGATAAAAGTACCATCAAGTCATCATGTGAACCAAAACAAACGACATAGTGTTAAATATTATATTAATGTAACGCATCCAATGGGCCCTATCAGAATAACAGCGCCTCTGTGTCATTTTGCCCATCCTAAAGTGGCACAGAGCCCATTGCTGAGATAGTGTCCATGTTGACCGCCCTTTTGTTACTTCATGAATGTTTGTATACTGTATATCAACAAATGTGGTCAATAAACTTCTTTTCTTTCTTAATGCAAATTGACTTCATCATCATCACCCGCCCTCTTTTACGTCCCCACTGAAAGGGCCTTCCTTCTGGATGGTTAAGGAGGATGGGCTATGACTCTCCACACTGACCCAATGCTGATTGAAGATGCAAATGCAGCCGGGATCAGTGCATTCCGAAGCACTGAGTTGATCGAGATAATATTTTTTGGTCACCCATCCCGTGACCGACCCTTGCGAAAGTTGCTTAATGACAACGGTCGCTGGCCGCGGTGCTTATCTACTACGCCAGCAACAAATCGACTTATTCATCAATATTAATGGTGATGACGATCTGGTTTTAATGGAAAAAAATGACATACGAGTCAGTTCGTCAACTTCCGTTTGGTATAAAAAAATAAGTATAGTTGACATGTTTCCTTGTTTCAAAATTTATTTTTTAATAACTCACATACAAAACTAATTATATTATTTTTATAAAATGCTTTGGAATATATAAACAGTATTATATGAGCGAACATGGTAAAACCTTGTTATATATTATCAACAAATAAACATACACGTGAAAATATGAAGTTAAGCAAGATGGCCGGCCAGTTTCCTCGCCATATTTTACGTCATCCCGCTATTTTTCGTCGACGACCGCACAGAGTTCAAGGTTACCGGCCAGTTACTAGAAACTGCCGAATAACTTTTTTTTTATCACCAATTACCTGTAGTAACACAGCGTAGTGTCGTGATATCAAAATATGGTCCTAGTGCCTAATTGTTTGTGTTATGAAAATATACTTACAGTAAACGTAAAAAAAAATTGCTTTTGAAATGAAAGCTGTAGAAATGCCTACGATGATATTGGCATGACGATTACCGCTATTGTCAAATCTGACTAGCTGTTTTCCCACGACTTGATGTTACTTCCCGTAAGTAAAAGAATTTTTAAATTCAACCGAGTAGTTTCGGAGCCCATTTCATTTCAACAAACAATCTAATAAATCCTCGTTTAATATTAAAATAAAAAAAATATCAGTTTAAAAGTTATATAATCGTATAAAGCATCTATAAGCAAGTAAATTTTAAGAAATTTTTAATGTTCTAAATTGTTTTTCAAAGTGTCTCAAGCAAGGTTTTGCAGATTTGACAAAAGCGTTTGCCTTAAGTAATGTTTAGCATCAAAAAACAACGACTCCTTTTCATAATGAATACAGTTTCTATTTATTTTTATTGTATTTAAGTTAAATGTTTAGTTAAAAAAAAAGAATTCACGCAAGCCTTATTAGTATTACATTTTAACTAAAACTATTGTAACATTGTTACACAAACGCGTGGTCAAAATGAAGTAACTTCGAGTTATTGGTCACTGATTTTTGAAGAAAGACAAACACATTTTCCTGTGTATAATATTATTAGTATATAGATTTTAATAGATAGATTTTTACCTAAAACGTGTCATAATATTAAAATGTATTAATACCATAACTGTTAAATTATAATTATTAACTGTATAAAACTCATAAGTGTAATAAATAATGTTATTTATTTTTTTCCTTATTTATCATTCAGTCTTATGGCGGTCCACCAAGTAAACAATATCGAAAATATTTAAACTTCAAATTGCGCGTTGCATCCAAAAATAAAGATGCAATAAACTTTCTCTTTCTTTCGTTTTTCCGACTTTGGTATGACATAAAGGCCGTTTGCCTATGGCGGCCATCCAAATATACCATGACCACCTTACGTAGAACTGTGTATATTTCGCAAACGTTTGAGAATTTAGGGTCGACGTGGATTGGTGATTACTCAAAACGTGTTGCGCCTGGTAAGATTTAGTTTATGGATCATTTGGACACTCATTGGTCGTGTGAAGAGTTTTATAAATGTAAACAACTGTGTTTTCAGTACATCGGTTGACGTAAATACTTACTCGACGTCCTTCACTTCTGGCAGTGCCGTTTTTTAAGCTGATTGATGCAGATCCCTTGACCAACAATTCTCCAAATTGTTGACAAAACACTTGTTCTGTATATACCACTACTTTTATAGACTTCATGGTAGTAGTTCGAATTTTAAAAAGTATTAAAGTGTTCGAAGTATTTATTTTAGTTGTAGGTGTTTAAATCAGTATATGAGTACCAGAAGGAAGTTTTTGAGGACAATAATTACTTTTTGGAAATTGACCTTTTTTCTTCATGGACTCCCTATGAGATTTCGTATTCTAATGTATACCACATGTTCTTCGAAATAAAATTAAAAGGCTTCATGACAATAACGTTTGCCTTTATAAAGTTTGTGACTGAAAATGGCGCGAACACGCGTACACATTGCCACTTTCGCTGCTGTTACAATAGATTTTACGCATAAATCCAACTTTCCCTAGTCGCTTTCGAATTATATCATATCTGAATATTTATGAAGACTCTCCTGATATATAAAATCATATTTTGGGTAATTGTGAAAGTAGGGTTATTCGGAAAAACTACCAGAACAAAAAATGAGGTTTGGTCTACTAACCTTAATCTCAATTCTAATCCGAATTCCAAAATGGCGGTCAAAAAGTTTTGATACTGTAAAACTAAGATGTATCTAGATTTACGATAATTATTGTTTTTGTTATGACATAAATAGTACATCATTAAAGTAAACTACTAACATTACTATAACGTTTGAAGGTAATGTGCATAATTGTTTTCTTAATATTTTCTTATAATGTAAAGTATACGTTTTATTACTCTGCTCTTATTCTATAACTCTTCATAATAAATATCAATTTATTAAATCAACAAAAAAATCATAGAATAAAATAAGTAATAAACTCTCGTTTTTAAAACTTAATGTTTGTGGCCTGCATTTTCTTGTTTTGTACATTTAAGGCCAAGGGAACGTCCTTACATAGCCTATCAAACATGGATAGGCGGGCCTTAGGTATCGTGTGTGATTCATGCGAACCAAATTAGGAATGAGCTGTGTTGCAGGTCTATATGATATTTTTGTTATCGAAGAGTAAAAATATCTTTCAAGTTTAACGTTTCACCATACGATAATTTGTTATTAAAGTCACTTATCGCTTAGTTAATATAATAATAAATATTGTGTCGTCGATCAGAACATCTGTTCTGTAGAACTATGAGTAATACACTATGACGTTTGTTAAGACAGCTAAAATAAGTAGATCTCTCCGATAATGTCGCTACATGAAGTTTTGGTAGGACTATTTAATTAACCAAAGGAATTGTCAAAGAACAGAACAGCAATAACTTCACGAGTCAAAAATAAATGAAGTTTAATTTAAGAGAATCTAACAAGTGCCAGCCCTTATCTGGAAAAAGGAAAAACAAGGGATTGCGTCTAGCTGGTCAACATTCGCGTGCATCAAACATGAGCACGAGGCGTAGAACTTCGCAGTTTCTCAGTTTGTTTTCACGCGTCCGCGAGGACGCGCGCGTGCTCTGAAATTCAGCTGAAACTGAACAAAGACGTGGCTGAAAATCGAATATTTTAATTCGAAATCTAAATACCTAGTATTTTTTTTTATAACTATATACTTACTTAGGAGTTTTATAAATAATACACTGTATAATTATTCTGTGTTAAACAGCTGTGTACAATTCTATTTAAAAAAGTTGCAATCGCGCGCGTTCTAATATAAACAAAGAAGGTTTCTTATTTGCGGATTTATTGTGCTGTTCATAAGTCAAATTTTCTTTAGAGAGGAAGTAACTGTTTTTTGGTGGAATAAAAGTGGCTGAAGTTATGTGTACCGTTAATTTAACTAGGGTTTGAGATCACACTGGCCACGAGTATTCTTTTGAATGAAGAATAGATTTTTAATTTAATATTCGAAAATATTTTATTACTTTTACTATTTATAATTTGTAAATGCAGCCAGTGCGTTGTGTCAGAGGTTAATTTTATTCATTGACAGCAAACGAACTAATGACAGCTTTAAATCACAATAGAACCATTGAATTGTAATCGCCTGAATATATTAAAGATTAAAAATAAATTTTATACCAACAATCTCTTTCATTAATTAATGAAGTTCGATTCGGACTACAGTCGAAACTTTCTTTTATTTTTTTTTAATTACGTCTGCCGCAACGTTCAAGGTCATACGTCTTTGTTCTCAATTCAGAATACTGTGTTGTGAATTGGCATCGGACCAAAGAAAGACTACAGAAGTTCTTCATAAAAATAATCAATGGCAATGTTTCTTAAAATGATTTCAACAATTGTGTACAAACATGTCGTGAAAAAGTGACGTTTCACCAAAATGTCACCCGTCAAACGAAAAAGAAGGATAGACGAAGAGGTCACGTTTAAATTTAAAAGGACTCAAATATCATAGCTAAGTGTAATAAAACCTTTATGGTACTACTATTGATCTCACAGTATTTTAGTGCTCAAGATTTAAAAATAAGTTTATATTAAAAAGAGACTGAATTGAAACGCTAGACTTTATTCGCTCGCCTTTTATTAAAAAAAAAGAAAATGATCGCTCTGAAGAAACTATACGGGGATGAGCTATTGCGTCTCGCTCTAGTTTTAAGTTTATTGAAAGCAAACCCGAATGATTATCTGGAAGCAGAAACCCAACAGCTCCTAACCGGTCTTCATATATCGAATGGTTCTGATTGGTCTTTAGAACATGAAGCTCGCACACTTATAAGACCAAGATATGTTCACCCAAAATCTCTGGATAACATCCTTATTAACTACGAAAGGGATTTATTTGAGGAGTTGAACTCATTAGGGCGATACGCAAATTCCCGTCTCGAAAACAATGAACGGATGTGGAATAACAGAGGTCCAATACTTCATACATATTTATTGAACGATGTAGCGACCGACACAGTTGCTCCGACGCTTGCAGTGCCGTCGGTTGATAATGGAGACCAAGATGGCGTCTCCGCCGACGATAACGTCGCGCAAGAAGTCAAAGTGACAGATGAGGAGTCTGTCAGCGAAAATGCGAGCCAACCGGAAGTAGTTGTGACTCTATCAGCTGATTTTCTAAACAACAACACCGAATCGGACATATTTGCGGAGATTGCTTCTCGATCATTTGACGTAAACGAACTCCTTGTAGATCCGAACGAAATGCAGATCAAAACTGAGCCTAAAGATGATAGTTTCCAAGATATTACCGTTAAAAAAGAGCAGTCCACTGAAGATTTGTACAGCGATAACGCGATCGACGATTTCGTACCCTATTTCACAGCGAAATCTGAGAAATTCGAACTTGGCGAGTCCAATTCGGTGTTCCACGAAAACTTGGCTGATCTGCAAGACTATGGGGAGTTGTTTGACGATGTCAAAGAGCTCAGAAATGAATTTGAGTTCTTGGATGTGAAACAACAACAGGAGGATCTCGAACAGTACCTTCTAGAGAACACACCTTTGGAGATGGATGCAGAGGTGTACGAATTAGCGCCTATGTTTGAAGAGGAGTTGGTATTGGATGTCAAGAGGGAGAGAGCAAGCACAAGTTTTACATCGGCTAGCTCTAGTGGTATCAGTGATATGGATTTGGCATCTGTTAGAGATATCAAGTCGGAGGTCGACGAAGGGCATCACACTGGTGACGAGCTGACACAAGAAGTGAGTATTGCATGATAGAGATAAGACCACTTAAAAACATCTATAGATAAATAAATGATAAACAAATTCTCCGGTTGTCCCTTGGTTAGAAAGGGAAAAAAGATCGCGGTACCCTATCTGTCTCTATACTCTGTATGCGTTTATATTTCTTTCCTCCTAGCGCCTGTAAATAAAAGACAGATAAAAGTCTTGCGATTTTCTCTCTGTTTCTAACTATTATTTTTGATATACTATCTCTATGAAAGGCAAAAAAATACTAACTATACCATTTTACAGCACCTCTGATCAAACTGTCAAATTGCTCCAATAAATTTTGAATCATAATGTATTAAAAATAGAATGATTCGCTGTTACCGTTGTATCGGCTGTCGGAAAATTCCCTCGCCCTCGAATTTTAATGTCTTTGTAATTTATTAAGTAATGATGTACAATCGATAACACCTCAAGTTTTTCAAAAGTCTGTGATTTAATTTAATTCTTAATTTGTTGACACCAAAGTTCTACATCGATTTTGGATAGTTGTCCTTTTAAGGTTTACTAAAACTCGTATGTAAGGGCGAGAGAAGTAATTATTTGAGAAATTTGCCTAACTCAAGCAAGTATTTTTAACCAATAGACGACAATTTGAATGAAGTTAGCTTCATTACAGCTTAACATTAACAGTTGGTATTTCATTAAATTTCATATTTATTTAATGAAAATTACTTAAATTATGACGATATCTGCTACTTGTAGTCTCATGATTACGATCATTTTTTATATGTATTGGGTTTATCAAGCACAGACATACACACACACACGCACACACACACGCACACACACACGCACACACACACACGCACACACACACACACACTCAGACACTCAAATTATAATAATTAAGTAATATTTTCTTATAACTACATATAGATTTATTTTTTTGATGTGGGGGCCTGGTGATCTGCAATTCAGGCCATAATCGGTTCCTTCGCAGACTCCAGTCTCTCACAAAGGTAACTCTGGTAATTGAAACTCTGTACTTCAACTTATTTACTACCTTTGTGATGAGAAAATAAATAAATAAAAAAAAAATAAGAAATCTAAAGTAATTACTTCTCTTGGCAATAGATACGAAAGTAAAAATGTGTCGTTCGCAATGCAGTTAGGCATATTTTTTTTTTAAATATTCATAGCCGTATAGGTAATATAACTTTGTAATTGTTGCTGTTATAAATCTTGTTTAATTGTTTTATTTAGTTATAAATTACATACAAAACTTGATAAAGATTTGTCAATCGATAGAATGATATATTAACCGTAATTTTGATTTTGGCATTTAACGTTAATACTCACAAAATAAGCAAAACGTGATAATACATCACGTGTATTACTAAGCTATTTGCTGATAAAGATATAATGAGTCTACGGTCGTCACAATATTAAGATTCATTTTCTGTTGACATTTCAATTATTGTTTGTTTGGCAGCTACACTTTTTTTACACTTACTGTCAATTAAACAAAACAAGTCCATTGCACTTTTGTCATGTTTGTGTATACATAGTACAAACCGAAGTCGCTTCCCGCTGTGTGTACGTTGGGATCTTTTGAACTACATAATGGATTTTCATGCAGCTTTTTTTAATATACAAAGGGATTCAAGAGGATGATTTATATGTATAAGGGGCCATCCATAAATTACGTCACACGTTAGGAGGGGGGGGGGGTTGACGAACTGTGACATTAGAACAATATTTAGGAGAATTTGTATAGACAAACCTGTGACAAGAGGGGGGGGGGGGGGGGTGTTAAAATCATGAATTTTGTGTGACGTTATTTATGGACGGTCCCTAATACAGGACCACGCGGACGAAGCCGCTGACGGAAAGCTAGTGTAGGTATAATAACATCGTCATTAGGGGCCGTCCTTTAATCACGTGAGGCTCGAAAGGGGGGTTCGTCAAAAATTAAGTAATATCACAAAGGGGTAGGGGACAGTCCGTTAGTTGCGTCGATGCGGACAGATATTCTCAAAGTGGGTTATGCGACCCCTTGGGGATTTGTTTACTAAAAATGGTATAAAGGAACGAAATCATTAGCAGTCTATTAATGTCCCCAGTGTTGGGCCTCAGGCCTACCCTATTGATGGAACCGATTAGGGGGAGCCGCGACGCTCATCCATTACGCCACCGAGCAAGAGATAATGTTTCATCATCATCAGCCCCTTTTACGTCCCCACTGCAGGGGCTCAGGCCTTCCTTATGGATGGTTAAGGAGGATGGGCCATGACCCTCCACGCTGGCCAAATGCGAATTGGAGGGTATTAACGACTGCAAATGCAGCCGGGTCCAACGGCTTAACGTGCCTACCGAAGCACGGAGTAGCTCGGGATAATAATTTATTGGTCACCCATCCCGTGACCGACCCTTGCGAAAGTCGCTTAACAACAACGATCGCGGTCCGCGGCGCTTATCCACTACGCCACCGAGCTACTGGAGTTTATGTTTACAAATTTATAATAGGTATCCACATATAAAAAGTAAAATTGGAATTGCAAAGCGCGCATTCGACATTTGACTCTTCGAAGTATGTATTAAGGACGGGAAATAACATATGCAAGTGAAATTGTGTCTTAAAAACAACTGTAGAAAACAAAATAAGACTCCTTTTAACAGACTTCAAAACTGTTTTTTTTTTTTAGAATTCTATTTTTAAACGACTCAAGACATTTCTATTGTTTACCGCTCGACTTCAATAGCATTTTAAGATAAGTATAATTTGTCACTTTTTAAAGTTTGAAATCAGTTCTATTTTTCGAAAAAAGTTTTTATCCAATGTCACCCGCGTATGATGTAGCTTCACGTAAGTGAAATAATATTTAAAATCAGTCGAGTATGTAGTTCCGGAGCTTATTCAAGGCAAACAAACTATCAAATCTATCTTTATAATTAGATAACCAGAGAAATCGAATTGAAAAATATGTAACTATTATAACGCTTATTTTAGGCAAACTGACTTACCTAAGGGCCAGTCTCTGAATTGAGAAAATAACTTAATTTCTTTGTTTTCACAAGACAAAAGTCCTAGTTTTTATCAAACTGCTTATTAAACCGACTGATTATTAAAAAAACTAAAAACCAGAAGCGGAAACCTGTTTAAGTGACTTTTAAGTACGGTTTGACACGTGCTTAGCTTTAAATACTATTCAAAAACCGGGTGTTAGTATATTTGCGATCAAAAAATGAGACTATATTGATCTGGTAATGACATAGTTTTTGTGAATGTCATTACTCCTATTAGAGCTGGTGAGTTTCTTGCTCGTTCTTCTTATCAGCCAAAAGACGTCCTGAACGAGCGGTAGGGAAATAATGTAGGACGATTCAAAAGTACTTTTAAGAAGTCTATTTGAATAGAGATTATTTTGACATCGACTTTGTAGCCAAAACAAGTTATTTCATAAGGCAGTATTCCGTCACGTTGGTTCTCTCAAATGACGTCACCAAACTGGTATGGTTTCTCGGAAACCCGTTATTTTGTTGAGTATTCCACGAATTACGGCAAAACTAAAAACAGCTGTTTGAATTTACTCATTTACAAATGCGAGACGAAATGCGGCATAAACCTTAATTCTTTGATGTTAAAGTTCGAAATACGATAAACAATAATTATATAGAACAAGTTTTAATCTTATCGTGAGTTTATATTTGTAAAAATATATCTTATGTCTGTTCGTGTGGATTGCCTGAACATTGATGGGAATACGCTCTGTAGTAGCGGAAAAGTAACGAGTGCTTGAAAGATTCGTCAGTCCTGTTAGGTCCCGGGTAGCTCAGTGGTTAGAGCAGTCGCCCGGATTGCGGATTGGTCATGGGTTCGAGCCCCATCTCAGAGTGCCGGGGACTACGTGGACTTTTGAAGTATATTTCATTAAGAATATTAATACTTATATTATAAACTAGCTTTCATGCGATTTTGCTGCGTAAATTTGACGTCATAAGCGGAAAAGCGGATATCACAAAATTGTTGGCGCTAGAGGGCGTAGCTTTACGAAATGTTGATTGTTCGAGAAATTATATATTTATTTTAGTAGAGATTAAACGTATTTGATAAATAGTTGTTTTGCTGTAAATTATAGCCAATGTTACCTACGGGAATTTACATCATACGCAGGTGATATATAATTTACATCAAAACAACAAGTATCGTATATGATGCTTTGATATTTGATCAAAATTTCGTTAAGCTAACGCCCTCTAGCGCCAACAATTTTTTGATTTCGTTTCTCCGGTGGTGACGTCATTCGTGCGTGAACTTTGAAATATAGAAGTATGATACATACTAGAAAACAACTAGTTATAAACGACTTATTCGATTAGCTCAGTGTTTAGCGCGCTCGGTCTGGAATATGGTTGTTAAGCTAATTTCACAATGGCCGATAGGGTGACCGAAAATAATATAATATTACTATACCAACGAAAAATGGAACCGTATTTAAAATTAAAAAAGTAAAAAATAATACTTATCTTAAAAGCGGTATTTATGAAACATTGAAATCGGGCGGTTAATATTTAATGAGGAAGTAGGTATTAAAAAAAACGAAAGCACTAAAAAAGCACCTCCACTAGATGGCGACCCTAGCAAAAGTTGATTTTTGCAGGAAACGAACGGACCAAAGACGGTCATTTCCGTTTCTTCTAACATTAAAAAACTGAAATTTTAAGAGTTCGAAACTTAGATACTAATACAAATACGAAAAAGTATAAATAGAATATGAGTTGTTTATTGAGTTTTGAAAAATAATTTACTTTTATACATGAAAGAAAACCGGAAAGGTTGTCATGGAGAAATTAGAAACGTACCGTAGCGACATCTAGTTTGATTTCGGGAACTAATGTTTATTTTTTTTTAATATCGTACTTCATGAACTACAGAAAACCTCAGTCTCAGCATTTTATACTTTTTTAATTTGAAAGTCGGTTCTATGTTTTTATAAAAAGTTTTTATTTCGTGCATTATAGTGATA